CTGTGGGACTGGCCCAGTGCAAGCTCAGCTGTCAGGGTTCTGGAGCCCTAGGGAAGCCAGACCCCTGGCCACAGGCTTTGCAGGCCTTGCTGGGGTGGGCGGCCCTCATGACTCTGGAGCAGGGCAGGGCAGAAGGCTTTCCTGCACTGAGGCCTGGAATCCTCCATCACCCTCAGGAGTTCTGCGCTGAGCCCAAGTTCATCTGTGAAGACATGAGCCGAACGGACGTGTGTCAGGGGAGCCTGGGTGAGACCCCTGCAACCACCTTGAGCCCTCGGATCCCGCGGGTTCCGCCTGGGATGCTGACAGCGCCCATCCCTGGCCTCCCTTCCCTGCCCGGGATCAGCCCTCAGCCTCTCCTCCCCCAGCCTCAGTTTCCCCTTTCCCATCCTCACCAATCCTCGCCTTTTCTCCCAGGTAACTGCTGGTTCCTCGCGGCTGCCGCCTCCCTCACTCTGTACCCCCGACTCCTGTGCCGGGTGGTCCCTCCTGGACAGGGTTTCCAACATGGCTACGCAGGTGTCTTCCACTTCCAGGTGCAGCTCGCTTCTCCGTCCATGCCTCATTCCACCCCCCACCCCGACATGGTGACATAGGTTTCACAGCGGACGCTGAGCCCTCGGGGCTGTCATTCCCGGACTCCGGGACCGGCACAGCAGGGTCAGGGGTTGGAGGTTGGGACCCAGGTGGGGTGGGCGGCTGGAAGCCACGTCTGGACCCTGCCCCCTGTCCCGCCAGCTCTGGCAGTTTGGCCGCTGGGTGGACGTCGTGGTGGACGACAGGCTGCCCGTGCGTGAGGGGAAGCTGATGTTCGTGCGCTCGGAACAGCGGAACGAGTTCTGGGCCCCGCTCCTGGAAAAGGCCTATGCCAAGTGAGAAGCCCAATGCGCCCCCGGTGGCAGCCCCGAGTCCCGGCAGTGGGCCTCAAGCCACATGGGCCCCTGGCGTCCCCCAAGCTCTGGCATCCTTCAGACACCCTGAGGTCCTCAAACCAAATGACAGTCCCACAACTGGAATATCACAACATCCCCTGAGCCCCCTCAAGTTGTAAACCCATTACTCTTCACACAAAACATTCCTGGAGACCCACCCACTACCTGCAGTTCGTGAGGACCCTGACATTTCACCTGTCGGGCCTGGGACTCACCAAATCTAAGATTTATTCCCTGGTGGGAGCTATAATCTCAGACACTTCTGGTCCCTCAAGAAATCAAAATCACCCGCAAAATGCTGGGTGTAAGCCAGGCTCGGTGGCTCAGCCTGTAATCCCACGCCTTTGGGAGGCTGAGGTGAGTGGATTGCCCGAGCCCGCGGGTTCGAGACCCGCCTGGGCAACTTGGCAAGACTTCATCTCTACAATAAATCAAAGAATCAGCCGGGCATGATAGCGCATGCCTGTAATTCCGGCTACTCGGAAGGCTGAGGCGGAAGGATGGCCGGAGCCCAGCAGGTCGAGGCTGCGGTGCCCGGGAGCGGCGACTGCACGCCAGTCTGGACGACGGAGTGAGACTCCAACTCAAAAAAAAAAAAAAAAAAAAAATGCTGGGTGTAGTCCCTGGAGTCCTATTTGCCTTTTCCCATTTCGAGACATCCTTGCAAGACTCCATGGGGATGACCCCCAAAGCAGGCATCCCCGAGGGGCCCAAAATTTCAGACGCAGCACAGGACTCCCCGAGTCCGACATGATTCTCCCATGACCCCCAAACTGCAGTCTGGGTGGCTCCAGGTACCACCGGCCCAATTTCCAAGGGCGTCCACTGTGGGCCACGGTCCCCTCATGTCAAGAGGCTGAAAATTTCAGGGATAGCCCTGAGGATCCCACGCCCTGGGATGGAGGCTCCCCCGGATCCCAGGGTGCTCGAGAGGCTCCAGTAGGCCCCAGCCTCGCCTGGTTCCACTCCCACAGGCTCCACGGCTCCTATGAGGTGATGCGAGGCGGCCACATGAATGAGGCGTTCGTGGACTTCACAGGCGGCGTGGGGGAGGTGCTCTACCTGAGACACAATGTCCCGGGCCTCTTCTCGGTCTTGCGCCACGCCCTGGCCAAGGAGTCCCTTGTGGGCGCCACTGCCCTGGTGAGAGTCAAGCTCCCATAGGGAACCCCACCAGGACCAGAGCAGTTGGGGTGGGGGAGGGGGCGCTCCTTGGGTCCTCCTCTTCTCAACTTCTGCAGTTGGCTTATCTTGCTCGTAAATCAAACTGGTGTAAGTAAAAAGGAAATTTATTTGCTCTCATAATAATTCAAGCTTCAGGCACAGCTGGATCCAGGTGCTCAGAGGCTATTGCAAACTTGTTTTTCTATTCCTGGGTCTGCATTGGCTACATTCTCTGGTGGGCTTTCCCCTCGTGGGCATTAAAGGGTCCCCCATAGCAACAGATATCTCCCATCACTCCAGGTTTTGTTTTTTTTTTAAGAGTGCCTCTTTCTAAGAATTTCAACAAAAGTTCCAGGATTGATTCTCATGAGCATAGCTTGAGTCATGTGTTCATCTGTGACCTATGACACATTCATTCATTGAGTTGGTCTAACCCATTCACTTATTCATTTACTTAATCCTCTGTTGGGTTACTGGCTCTCTTTTGTGTCTCTGCCTCTTTCTTTTTTCTTTTTCTTTTTGAATCGAAGTCTCACTCTGTTGCCCAGGCTGGAGTGCAACACACTCATGGCCACCACAGCCTTGACCTGCTGGGCTCAGACGTTCCTTCTGTCTCAGCCTTCCACGTAGTTGGAACCACAGGTGCGTGCCACCATGCCCGGCTGATTTTTTAATTTATTGCAGAGATGAGATTTCGTCAAGTTACCCAGGCTGGTCTCGAACCCCTGGACTCAGGCAATCCTCTTGCCGCCACCTCCCAAAGTGCTGGAATTACAGGCGGAGCCACTGTGCCCGGTTGTCTCTGCCTCTTTCGGTGTCTCTGTTCTGCGTCTTCTTTGACTCTGTGTCTCTTTCTCCTCTTTCCATCTGCCTTGGTCTGTTTCCGTCTCTCTCTCTCCTCTCTCTGGCTTTCGCTCTCCAGCCCGATTCGCTCTCTGAGCCCCGTGCCATTCCGTTCGGTGCCCTGGCTGATGACTGGCCTGGGGGGCAGGGGGTTGGGGGCAGGGAGGAGCTGCCACCCTCCCGCCCCCCACCTGGGCCTCACCGTCCCCTGTCCTCTGCCCAGAGTGATCAGGGCGAGATCCGTACAGAGGACGGGCTGGTGAAGGGCCACGCATATTCGGTCACAGGCACACACAAGGTGAGCGTCCCCCACGGGTGGGCTGGTGGGTGTCCGGGCGCCACCCCCACTGACCGTGCCGCCCTCAGGTGTCCCTGGGCTTCACCAAAGTGCGGCTGCTACGGCTGCGGAACCCGTGGGGCCGCGTGGAGTGGACCGGGGCCTGGAGCGACAGGTAGGGTGGCCCCGGGGCAGGGGTGGGGCTCGGCCCGCCTGCACCCCCTGACGCCCCCGTCTCTCTAGCTGCCCACGCTGGGACGCACTCCCCACCGAGTGGAGAGACGCCTTGCTGGTGAAGAAGGAAGACGGAGAGTTCTGGTTAGTTCCTCGGGGCCCTGGGGAGCGGCAGGTCCTGCATGAGGGAATTTCATGAGGATGGAGCCCCTAGGGAGAAACTGTGTCTATCGGTGACGATTTGGGGATCGGGTTCTATTTGGGCAGGTCAAGGGTGAATTAGTATATGAGGAGAATTTGGAGGCACAGTAACCTTTGGTGAGAGGGATGGGTAACATTTCGGGCACCCCAGGGAGGCCTGGTGGCACTTGGGGCATTTCTTGAGATCTGGCAATACTGAGGCGATAAAGGATACTTGTGAGCCTGGCGCAGTGGCTCATACCTAGAACCCCAGCACTTTGGGAGGCCAAGGCGAGAGGATCCTGGGAGGCAATACAGCGAGCCCTCATCTCTACAAAAAAATTTTTTTTTAATTAGCTGAGTGGCCAGGGGCGGTGGCTCAAGCCTGTAATCCCAGCACTTTGGGAGGCCAAGGCAAGAGGATTGCCTAAGCTCAGGGGTTCGAGACCAGCCTGGGCAAGTTGGTGAGACCTCATCTCTCTAATAAATAAAAAATAAGCCAGGTATGGTAGTGCACGCCTCTAGTTCCAGCTACTTGGAAGGCTGAGGCAGGAGGATCGCCTGAGCCCAGCAGGTCGAGACTGTGGTGGCCGTGAGCGTGCCACTGCACTCCAGTCTGGGCAACAGAGCGACTCAAAAAAAGAAAAAAAATTAGCTAAGTGGGGGCTGGTGCATGCTTGTTTCGCAGCTACATGAGAGGCTGGGGCAGGAGGATCCCTTGAGCCGAGGAGTTAGAGGCTGCAGTGAGCCATGATCATGCCACTTGCATTTCAGCCTGAACAACAGAGTGAGACCCTGCCTCTAAAACAGTTCTGTTGCTGTTTTTTTGTTGTTTTGTTTTTGTCTGAGACGAGGTCTCACTGTGCTGCCCAGGCTGGACTCAAGCAATCCTCCTACCTCGGCGCCCAGCTGCTAAAACATTTTTTCTTTTTGAGCTGGAGTCTCACTCTGTCGCCCAGACTGGAGTGCCGTGGCCGCCTCCGGCCAGCGCAGCCTTCCAAGTAGCTGGAGCTGCAGGTGCGCACGTCCACGCCCGGCTCATTTTTGCTGTTGCTGTCAATATGTGATCCCTCAGTCATTAATGTAGACCCCTGCGTCTAATTTTTTTGATTTTTTATGGTAGAGACGCGGGCTCACCCATTTGCCCGGGCTGGTCTCGAACCCACGGGCCGAGGCACTCCACTCGCCTCGGCCTCCCAAAGCGGTGGGATTACGGGCTGAGCCACTGAGCCCGGCCCCAAAGTCGTTTTTTAAAAGAGATCCTTGTTGGTGATGGAGAGCCGAGGGTCTCGCTGTTGGGGGCCGAAGACGG